GGCACCTTTGGTAATTTATATGAAGAGATGGAACAAAATAGTCCAATTATGACTCTGTATCGCAATAAAAAAAAATGTTGAAGGTGACAGAACAGTTAAAAAAGACAAATGAACCTCTTTAAAGAAAGGAATTCAAAATTATGGTGAACTCTTCAGTTTATCAATATAAAAACAATCCTGCAAACACACTTAATATTGCTGTGTATGTCTATAAAACTCTTCTTTCTTTTGCTCCAGAATTTGCTCTTTCTGTAATGCTTTCTTAACTTATGTCATTGTTAAATTTATCTTTAAAGTTCATTAGCCAAAGGTTAGACTTACGCTAAGTAAATATTGACCATTTGCTTGATGACTTTGTTTATAATGGTAATGAGGGAAATTATTTTATCCCGAAGGCTCATGCTCTTTGATTATAATTCATTTTCTCATGCAGATATGGTCCATTTTGGATATGTACTACGTTGATATTTGTGGCTGCTTCTATTGGAACTTTTGTAACATACGTGGCACACAAGATACATAAAAAAGAATGGAACTACGACATAAATTTGGTAACCTGGTCTGCTGGTTTGTTCTATGGCTATGTTACCATTGTTCCTCTTGGACTATATGTAGTCCTCAAGTACTTCTCGGTGCCTTCTGGCCTTGTTCAGCTCTTATGTCTCTATGGCTACTCTTTGTTTGTATTCATCCCGGCACTGGTAAGTTTAATGAGTCCATGATCAATACTATTACTTACTACGAGTTTCATGTTCAAAATTTTGTCTCTCTTGAAATCACCCTTCCTTCCCTTTCCCATTATGAAAAAAAAAAAAAAGTACAGAAAGCAGTAGTTCTCAAATGCATCTTTGTAGTTCAATATGTTCATAGTGCCTCATCTTTTAAGAAAAATGATCATAATTTCTTTATGCTTGTGTTGTTTAATAATTAGGAAACATACAACTCCCTTCATTTTCTCTTACTTTGTTTCTGGTACAACATTTGACACGGTTTCATGTCTGGTGTCACTCTCTCATTTGCTTCTTACATGTTTATTGGGTAAATGAATTTCCTTAGGTTTGTGATGTTTGTCTGTCCCATCAACACAGAAGTTAGAGTAAATAAGGCAGGATTACGTTTTTGTCTATTATCAACCATGTGAGTATGAAGGATCATTTTATAGACTAGGGGTACCTGTATAGAGTTAACCATGATGGATTGGGATGACGGTCAATAAGGGCCCTGTGAATAGGAAGGGCTAAAATGAAATGAGTTTAAATTATCGTAGACATCTACTTAGGATTTAATATCCTACGAGTTTTCTTTGCAACCTAATAGTAGGTTTTGATGGTTACCCATGAGCATAGTCAAGGTCTGTCCAAGTTAGCATGGACATTCACGGATATTGGAATAAATAGGGTACTTGGATTTGTATTTTTCAATTCTCTGCACTTAAGATAAGAATTATATTGGCTATGAAATTTCTTAATGAAATCTCTTTAAACTGTTTGTATGGTTATAGACTTCTTTTTTAATTTATAATTTGAGGGGTATATTATGTTGGCTGATCATGATGGAACTCTTTCTTTCTCTTATACACCTGTTGGCACTGATAGTTCACCTCTTCGCTATCCTATCCTCTGCTTGTAGGATATGTCACCTCTTTTATATCACAAATGTAGGGTTGACAGCAGTAGAAATGAAAGAAAAATTTGTCTTCTGATCATTCTTATAGGGTTGCATAGTTTGACTTCCAGATGTGGGAAGATCACGGTTCATTTCTTTCATTTTCCAAAGAGCATTCCTTGATTTTGTTGTGTTGTAGCTTCAGAATTTAACATGTCACATTGTCTATATTGTGTTGCATCTGCATCCTGTGTCCGTGTTTGTGCAGTCTTAGGTGCCACTCTTATTGGTGTGTCTGTGTAGCTCCTTTCGTATGCAGTTTCGTTTGTCATTCTTTCTTAGAAAATTTGTTTCCTATTCATAACAACAATAATATTAAAGCCTGTGGTGAGTTTACATAACCTTTTTACAGTACCTTTGACCTTTTGTGTTGATCTTCACGATACCATGAAAGATATCAACTAGTTTTTTTGTTACCCAATCGTTGAACTTGATACGTTAATCTCTATTATTTGGTGGCTCAAACGTGTGTTGGGTTTGTTGTATTTGCAGTGTCTCTCCATTGTCCCTCTGGAAATTTTCAGATGGGTTATTGCAGGCGTGGCAGGATTCATGTCTGCATCATTTGTGGCACTCAATCTCCGAGCTCACATAAAGTCAGCTGGTGAAAGGTGGATTTTGATTGTGGCCAGTATCTTCTTGCTGCAGTTAGCTCTTTCTGTCATTCTCAAACTGTATCTGTTTACTGTTACAGTATGAAACTAAACTGCCCCGCCCTCGATAAAACAGAATGTAGATTACAAAGATGAATTTCTTTTGGGGCCATTGGTTTCCAGTACTTACCAATGTTTAGCTAAACCATATCATTCATTGATTGGAGAACATCTATCTTATATATATGTTCCATAAGGTCAATAGATTCTTCTATCTTCATTACAAGAACATGTGTGATTTAATCATCTCTAACCTATCCTATATAGCATTTTCCATTTCATCCGGTTGGTCCCTTTATGGTCGAGAAGGTCTGGACACACCTCCTATCTCTCAAGCGGATGACAGAAGGTACGCTTTATTATCCCTCTACATTAATGATTATACTTTTTCTAGCCTTTAGGCCCCATTTTATAAAGATTTTGTTTTTAGTTTTCTGGATTTTTCCATAAAAGAATTATATGCTTTATTGTCCTACCACGTTAATGATATTATTTTTCTAGGTTTGAGGCCCATGTTGTTTTTTGTTTTCTAGTTTTTTTAGTAAAAATAGTTGTGGTTATTAAGTTATAGATACAAAGACAATTACTCCGATATCTCCAACTATATACAGAGCTAAAAGTAATTAGAAACTGGAGCTACACGAAGAGTTCTTCACATTACTTCTAAAATTTTCAAGCAAAAGCCTGTTTGTAGTAGTATAGTCTCCCAAATCCTTGCTTTTCATGAACGTTTGACTGTCGTTGATTGCATTATCATTATCAGGTGGATTATGAAGATAAAAGAGCCAATGACTTTGTAAGTGCTTTTTTTAAAAAAATAGGTTAGTACTTTTTCCTCTTTTAAAAATTAATAAGTTCAAGCACTTGTGCTACATAATACATATTTTGTGGGTGTAAATGACATTCTTCAGAACAAAACGGTGGGTTTTGTCGGTGTAAATGGCATATTCTTCGGAACAAACTGTGGTTTTTGTTGGTGTAGATGGCATTTTCTCGTTATTATATGGGATTGTTAGAACTTTGAGGGACAGAATTTCTTTTTTTTTTTTCTTTCTTAAAACCAAGAAAGAAAAACGAACTATTAGTGTTTTTGACGTCACTGGGGGCCTCAATTTCTAATAATTTTGGCATTTTTTATATAAACAAATCAAGATCTGTCTGCGCAACTGAGCTCTTTGACACCATCAGGTCTTAGGGTTTTCAATTCTCCTACCATAATTAAATAAATGATTAAATAATAGAATTATTTATTTATTTATGAAATATATGGGATTAAATATATATATATATATATATATATATATATATATATATAAGGATATAAAAGAATTTAAATTGTTTGTTATTTTTTAAAATTATTATTATTAGTGGGTTTTTTAGTACAAATTCGTGTCTTAAATTAAAAAACAAAAGCAAATATGTCGGGGCTGGTGTCTAAAATAGAAAATTCAAATTTAAAAATATTATGAGAGTTGATGAAGGGTACATGAATGAATGAATTGAAGACTACGAAATGAGAGCAATTTTGAAAAGAAAATAAAATGGTTAAGAAAAACTAATAAACTGCACTTTTTTTTTTAATTTTATTTATTTATTTATTTAGCTCAATCATAAGATAATTTCAAAGTTAAGTGTGATTTGTTTGAGTAATTTTGTACCTCTTCGAAATTTTCCTTAGCACGTTAAAAGAGCTCGTGTTGATCTGCGAGATAGTTTTCACTCTTAAAAACGGAGAGTAAATAATGTGACTATTTCGTAGGAGATACAGGAGAATGTCGAAGACTATACTTAATGGCTTTTATTTATTTATCTATGTTTGTGAAAAGAATGGTAATGTTTATTATTATTTAAATAATTTTATTTAATTAAGAGTTTGAATTAATTTCAATTTCGTTCTTATAATTGGTTCAAAAATTCATAATAAATAATTATATTCTTTTATTTTTTATTCAACTCTACACCCTAATACAACTAAAATAGTTGCGCTTAGAAAACTATGAAAAAAAAAGCGATCAGCCAAAGATAGTTTGTGAAGAACCATAAGACTAAATTTGTAATTTAATCTAAAATCGTGTAAAAGATAATCATATCAAATAAATAGATTATCAGTTTGTGAAGAACCATAAAACTAAATTTTTAATTTAATCTAAAATCGTGTAAAAAAGATAAGCATACCATATAAATTGACTATGAGTTTGTGAAAAACCATAAGACTAAATTTGTAATTTAATCTAAAATCGTGTAAAAGATAAACGTATTCTAAAATCGTGTAAAAGATAAACGTATCAAATAAATAAACGTATCAAATAAATAGATTATCGCCTACCATTGGAATATAACTCAATAAAAGTTTGAATCTCTAAAAAACAGAAGCTTCTTTTGACATGGCAATAAAAGTTTGAATCTCTACTCATCCACATCCAACTAAAAATGAAGCTTCTTGTGACATGGCCATGGCAATGAATCGGTTCGCTTTCTTTGTTCATGAAAATGGGGCGAGTGAACTCAAATTCAATACAGAAGGAAGAGATGTATTATAAAAGATGATAACTTAGTTGGAATGAAATTCAACTGCATGATAGGATGGGAAATTAAAAGAACATAACTTGATTGATGGCATTCAATTTTCCCAATGGAATTCAATCAAATAATACTGATAATAATAAGATTTGCCAAAAAACAGAAACTCCAAAATGGTAAAATTGCATAAAACTAATGTTGACTTCCAATTTTTCCCAAGAAAACTATTGAAAACGCTTCCCATGTATCAAACGATAACGATAGAGCTATAAAGTTATAATATACCAAAACAGCGTTGAATAGCAATATCTCATCTCAAACCTAATAATCTGAATTTTCTAAATAAGAGTTTCCAGACCATGTGGGAGTGGTCCATGAATTTCATTACTGGACTCAGCTTTGGGCTTGCTTGACAGGGTTGATGAAAACGATTGGCAGCCCTGCAAAAGCCCAAGAAAATTAGTTTAGAATCCGAACATGTTCTCTCAAATTAGCTTCGAAAACACTCGTTGTTTCAGTCTGAATAAAATCAATTAAGAACCCAAGTCAATCTCAGAAACGATTGCCAAGCTTCTCTAAATCAGAAAATTCAATCTACAACTCTTTTATAGAGAGAGTACCCACAATTGAAGCATATAAATAAGAACAGCCATCTGTTATTAGTGTAATATAACTCCATGCCCACCAAAAAGATAATTTGAAGTTCCAACAATACTGTGAGTAATATATCCTTTCCTTGAGTCAGAAATTTTATAAATCAAATGGGAGAGAAGAAAATTATGCAATCAGGCCTTCGATTTCTTCCCTTTGGCATCGCTTGTTGTTGGTTTCGCCTTGAAGGGCATAAAAGTTTTTCCACCCATAAATGGTTGTAGAACTTCTGGTATCTCCACCCCATCTTCTTTCTGGTAGTTCTCAAGAATGCAGCACAAAGTCCTTTCTGTTGCTGTGAGCGTGGAATTCAGCATGTGCACATATTGCTTTGTCTGCTCGTTGCTCTGCAAATATTGGAACGGAAAAGAAAGATTATTGGTTTCTTCCTTGCACTCGTAAGATTGCATCCATGTTGTTTGTATACTTTTAATCTTCTCAATGTTGTCTATCGTCTATGTGCTTTTACAATGTTCATAGTTAATCCCTAAACTTTCAAGGTTGTATCTATCTAATTCTTGTAATTGAAAAGGTTTCTAATAGTTTTCTCTACCAAGTTACTCTCATTTTGTGTCTAATGGATCACTAGTAGGTTGGCCACTGATGTTAAAACAGTCAATTTCGTGCATATGAGGCACGTTGACTGTAATATCTAAGTGTGTAGTGCTGAGTTGATTTCAGGCTGGTTTAGATCTTGTGTGGCCTAAGCATTAAAACTTAAATCAGATCAGATACGGTGTGGCATAGGCATTAAAGTATAGAATTATAGATAGAGATTAAACACAGAATTAAAAACTCAAAGGGCATATCAGAATCTTTTGAAAATATAAGGACTAAAAGAGACAAGTCAAATATTTAAACTCCTACGAACTTTTTAAAACAATAAAAAACTTGACTAAACACAAAGAATGGACACAAGACCTGAAAATTCAATACTAAACTTGCAAGAATGCAAGAATCATATACTTTGTAAAAAGGGGGAAATGAAAGAATGTACAAAAGCATTAAAAAAAAAAAACCGAACAAAAAGCATCATAGTCACAGACGTAATTAGCTATAAGAATCAATTCCTCCCTATTAGAAGCCTATTAAAACGTTAGTACCACCGGGTTTAATTTTAATGACAGAAATAAATCCTCCAATAATTCAGAAGTAAGAAATGAACTAACCTTTTTCTGACCAAATCGGGTCTCTAATCTTCTGGACTGATAATCAGTGCAATTTGAACAGGATACTAACTCCCTGTAAGTCTGGGATGCAGGAAACCATGCTTCCAGATCGTATTTCTTGGCAGCCGCATCATTTAATGCACCAGAAACTATAGCCACAACTTGGTATGGGAGATTTAACTGCCAAAACATTGGATTTCACATCAGACAGAATATAACTAACCTCTTCCTAAGATCTCTCGACCCCTCTAAAAATAACAATATTTCTCGTTTCAGCAAATGTTTCACAAAATAGCCAAATAAACCAGCTTGCAAACATGGAAATTGTAATTATGTAAAAAAGAAATCACTAACATAAGGAATAGAAGTTAGATACCGTCTTGTAGAAGTCCTCAGAATTCTTAATCATCTCTTCATGCATGTCCCACGAATCATTGCCATTTGGGCTGGTGACACAAAATTGCTCTATTTTCTCGAATTGGTGAACTCGGAAAATTCCAAGAGTATCTCGACCATGGGAACCCGCTTCTTTGCGGAAGCAAGTTGAATACCCAGCATATCTGTGTAGATCATAAACAATGGTAAATTTTATTTTTGTAAAAAATGCTTTCTTACGGTGTCAGAGGGTGGACAGGCTTTCAATGAGACGTAAGAACCTTATAGGCAACTGGGAAGGATGAATCCAATCTTCAAGATGATATGAACAAATTGGTTGTTCAGCAGTGGCAATTAGATACTTATCATCCCCCTCACCAGTTACCTAATTAACATCAATTAATTCAGTCACATTTTGTCACGTTTCCACAGTCCAACAAAGCAAAAAACTTCATTGCTAATTTGTTCTGAAATACAGTTGAAAAACTATACTTTCCAAAGAAGGAAATCAGTATGGTTATGTTTGGAATAAAAAAACATATAAGAAAAGATTTTATATCACATGATATGAGAAACTAGAAATGATTTTAAAATTGTTGTGTGGTTTAATATGAGAATGATTTGAAATGAATTTGAATTCGTTTTTTCAAGTGTTTATTGGAAATGAAAAAGAAAATTCATAATTGGCAATTGACATTGAAATCCTGTAAAATCCTTCGTGTTAAAATTCTTGAAAAACAGGATTTTAAATCAAGATTTAATTTCAAGAAATAATGGATTCATTTCAAATTCATTAGAATTTAAAATTCCTTAAAATCCCATTGAAACAAGACGAGGGTAATAACAAACTTTATAAAGTTCTTCATCAAATTGTGCTAGTTGAGCACATCTAGCCATGATATCTTTTCTCATGAAGAAAGGAGTCTGCATTGCTGTGTAACCCCTTTTCTCTAAAAAGTCGAGGCCATAATTGATCAAAGCTTGGTTCAAACGCACACCATCTCCTTTGAGGTAGTAGCCTCTACCACCTGCTATTTCAGAACCTACATATTTCCATCAAGCTGGAATTAGCATAAAAGTGAACAACCAGAGCTGAAAAAAGCTACATAAAATCCTTCCAATTAACTAAAAGATAATTCTGTCTATTCAATCTGTAATTTGTAACCAGAGTAAAATTAAAACCAACTTAGAGCATGTATAAGAACCGTATCTCTGAAACTATCAAAAGAGACAAATTTCATTGAAAGTGTGGTTGTTCCATTTGATTCAATAATGTCCCAAAAAAGGCTCTAATAGTCGGCAACCATAATATCTCCTTCTACATGGCTAACTTGAAACATTTATAATGCAGATAGCATATGATTCTTGTTACTCTTCATTTTATCATTTTTTTTTTTCCTGTAGATATAAGGATATCAAATACAGCATCTAGTCAAAACAAAGAGATTTCAGTTAACACAGATTAGAAGCAAGACCATAAGATCGAAACACCTAATGCCACAGCAAAATTAATAGAAGACATAAAAGATGAATCTTGTATCCATAGAAGCCTGTAAATCTCACTACCTTTTTTGCTATCTGCAATTCCAAGAAGCTCAACAAGATCAACATGATTCTTTAGTTTTGGTTTTACCAGTTTCTCACCCCACGATCTGATTACAGCATTATTAGCCTACAAAATGTCGCTAAGTACAATATTAAAAATTTAAATAAAAAAAAAAGGATGGCGCTACTAAGAATAGAACAAAGGCAGATATCCCAAATACCACACCTCATCATTGCTGACGGGAACGGAATCGTGCACAAGGTTTCCAATTATTTCCAATTTTGAATTCAACTGTTTTAACACATCCTTAGCTTCAACGTCTTTCTCAGCAGACAACTTTTTGTTTTCTTCAGTGTCTTTAATCTTCTCCGACGCATCCTCACCAGCCTTCATTCCCAAAATTTTCAAAGTAAATGATGGAAAGTATTAAATCCCCAAATCGGAAACTGACAACGTCCTAGACTTTCAAATTAATGCTAGTTCCAAAACTAATTTGTCTTGCAACCAATACAGAGAAGATAAGATGTGGAATCTAAACCCGCAGAAAAGAAAGCACAAATAGCTTTGAAGAAAAAAGATAGATGCGTTACTATTCTGAGCTGAGCAATTTGCTTGTTGATCTTATTGAACTCCTTCCTGAGATTCTCAAGCTCAAATTGGCCTAAACAAAATCGAATTCCAAACAGAAAATAAGAAAAAAGTAACAAATAACGGTAGAAATGAAAGCGATGGAAAAGATTGAGGGGATTACGTTGACGCCATTCCTTGTCAAGCCTAATTACTTCATCAACGAGTTCAACGCTGGCAAATCGGCGGCGTTGAGACTCACGAATGATTTCAGGATTGTTGCCCTTCTCTTCCCTGAACAAATTGATGTCCAACATCTCTCACTATCCGCCTCTGAGATTCCCCCTTCCACAGCACGACAAATAAATTCCAAAAACTGCAATCTTGAGAGAGGGAGAGACAGAGAAAACGCTTTAACCTGCAAAAACCCTAAACCTGAGAGTGAGATTATAACATTGGCCAAAATTAGGGCTGAGGACCAATCCGGTCCAACCGAGCCGGTCCTTCTTTGGACAAACCGGATTCCAACGGTTGGCTCTCATCTATATATAGGCCTGCAGTTTAATTTAAAAATAAAAAATAAAAAATAAAAAAGTTTTAATTTTAATGAGATAAATTGAAATAAGTTATTTGTTTATTGCTATTGGAAGTGACTCCTGACTATGATGCCATTAATAGCTCCAAATTAAGCCTACTTTAGATAGCATATTTGTATATTTAGCTATGCCGAGTTATATTTGAGTATACTTCTTGTAAGTTCGAGGTTGGGTATGAGTTCGTTCTTCGACAAATCAAGCAACAGAGTGTATCTGATGTTCCCGTCACTCTTAGAAAACCTTGAAATTTTGGACTACTTTAGACCCAACTTGATACGTGCTTATTGAAATTGAACTTATATAGTTTACTCTCTAATAATCGTCTATACCTTCCTGTGTTAGATGATTTAAAGTCTCCATTCCTGCGAAATTCTCCATTTATTTTAGTGGAGATTGGGTTCTCTACAGGAAATTTTTCTCCGTTATTATTCTTATAGAAAAATATGAAGAAAAAAAACGTTTTAATGTATACTTTTCAACACATTGAAAATTGTAATGGAATTTTTTGGGTGGGGACGGGATGGGGACGGAGAATATAATTCTCACCCCCAACCCCATTTGTCTATCGGCCCCATAGAAAAATTTTCTCACTCCCTCCCCCAATCTCCTTATAAACAAGGAATCTCTGACTAGTTCGAATGGGTCCCACAAGGCCCAGTCCCGTGTCATGGTTGAACTTTTTCAACCAGGTAGCGTCGTGATCTTAATATGCTCACAATACACCTTGATAAAAACTCAAGCCCGACTTTGTGGCTCTGTCGAACCTTATGCGATGTTTGTCTTTGCCAACCTAAAATCACTTGTGCGACACCCAAGCTTATTCAACCACACCCCCAGTCCTATGTCATGGTCGTACTTTTTCAACCATGTAGCGTCGTGATCTAACATGTTCACAATAGACCTTGAGAAAAACTCAAGCCCGACTTTGTGGCTCTGTCAAACCTTATGCAATGTTTGTCTTCGCCAAGCTTTATTCGACCGCAAACCTTATGCAATGTTTGTCTTCGCCAAGCTTTATTCGACCGCAAACCTTATGCAATGTTTGTCTTCGCCAAGCTTTATTCGACCGCAAACAGTATGCAATGTTTGTCTTCGCCAAGCTTTATTCGACCACAAACCTTATGCAATGTTTGTCTTCACCAAGCTTATTCCCGCATGCATATTTAATTGTTTTGCAACACAACCGACTTGCCTCTAGAAAACCACATGTCCAAATTTCCTTCGAAACCAGACTTTCGCGATCAAGGCTTTTACTTGCGATCATCATTCCAATGTATATATGATCACACAAAAGGGTTGTCGAGAATTGTTTCCTATTGGAACATCCATCTTTCAATGAACTAGACTTTAAAAGTGCCAATAATAGGTCTCCCGAGTGAAAGCCAAATATCCTAACTGCTGAACGACAACCAAACTTGTTGAATCATTTTAAGTAAGAGAAAAAGAGGAAATTCTGAATAACGGGAGTTAGCGAGTGTAAGTAATGTTGCAAAAATACTTTTACGAATGGACTTGGAATGTTTGAATACATTCAAAGTGGTTGAGCATGACCCTAAATTATGCATGGATTGTAACTATGAACACTTGGAATGAAATTAACTTAAAGAGCAAATGAACACATTAATTGCATTAATGGAAGTTAACGAGGGTAAGTAACCATTTGAATCTTTTTTATTAATATTTCTGGATTAGATAAAATTAAATATTTTTTATTAATATTTATTTGAATCTTTCAACAATTACTATAATTATCCTTTAAAATATTAATATTAATTATTAATATTTCTCAATTAATTGTATAATTAAGGGATTATAAAGAATAAATATTTTATTTTTCGATTTAGTTTTATATAAATTATTGGATAATAATATCTCCATTTAGCCATATGTCTGAATGAAATTATATTATTTTATAATAGCTAAAAATTAGATAGATGTGGATAGCTAAGTCACATATGCACGTAAGCTCATGTTTTCACACTCATAGTACATTATGTTAGTTTAAATCCATATTTCTTTTCGACTAAAGCCGACATTTTTACGAGTTCAAAATCAAAATTATATGATCTACCTAACAAATATATATTAAATTACCTGTTTTTCTTTAAAATTAAATCTAATAAGATTATATTAGACTGAACTAAAAGAGACTAAAAAAATTCACCCTTAGATCCCACCCACCTCGATTCAAATTTACCCATTCACAATGCTCCCACCTGCATATATTCATACATATGAATATCATTTCTAATAAATTAAGATGTTTATAGTCATGTGGTTGCATGGAAACTCACCGTTGGGATGGAGGATTTGGCCAGTGAAGTAGGAAGAGCAGTGGTTGCAGGCGAGGAACACATACGACGGACCAACCTCAATTGGCTGCCCAGCTCGCTTCATTGGAACTTCACTTCCAAAGCTTTCAATCTCTTCCTTGTCGAAGGAAGCTGGAATCAATGGCGTCCATATCGGACCCGGCACCACTCCGTTCACTCTTATCCCTCTGCTAGCCAGCTGATGGGCCAGACCTCGTGTGAACGCCACGATCGCGCCTTTCGTCGCTGCGTAGTCTAGCAGCTGGGGGCTGCCCTTGTACGCCACTACTGATGTTGTGTTTATGATTGAGCTGCCTTCTTTCATGTGCTTCAATGCATGTCTGATTCAAATTCAAAACGAATTACGACTCTCTCTTCAATAGTATGATATTATCTACTAGTATGATGTGGTCCACTGTGAGTATAAGCTCTCATAACTTTTACTTTGGGCTTTCCCGGTAGGCCTCACACCAATTTAGGGGATGATCATGAGTTTATAGGTAAAAAATAAACATCTCCATTGTTATAGGTTTTTTGGGAAGCCCGGACCATGAGAGCTTATACCGTAGAGCCATGAAAGCTTATGCAGTAGAGAGTCGTAATTTCTAACATGGTATCAGTGTTATGCCATTAACTTAGCCATGTCAATAGAATCTTCAAATATTGAAAAAAGAAGTTGTGAGCCACGGAGGGGTAGTCATTGAACATTGAACAATATCATACCATTGTAGAGTGTCGTGAGTCGTGATTTCTAACATTCTTTACTTATAAAGACGTGATCATTTCTTAAATTAGCCGAGATAGAACCGTCCTCAACAAAAACTTTACCTTATAATCTAGCCAATTTGTATTAAAAAAAATTAACTTTCTTACTTGACCATGAAGAATTGAGAGAATATGTTAGTTCTGAAAACTCTCTCGAGCCTTTGCTCATCAATCTCCTCCACGGAGTGCGTCTTGTGCTGCTCAGCTGCAGCGTTGACTAAAACATCAATCCGACCGTACGCTGCCACAACCTCGTCGATCGCCTGTTTACAGTTCTCGTCGAACCCCAAGTCGGTGCCAACAGCAATCGGCGGCTTAGCATCAGCGGCCTGACATTCCCGGAGAATCCCAAGCATATCTCGGGCGTCCTTCTCCTCTTGATTCTTCACATAGGTGAACGCCACAGTGGCTCCCTCAAGCGCGAAGCAATGGCACACCGCTCGGCCGATCCCAGAATCGCCACCGGTCACGAGCGCCACCCTGCCGAGAAGCTTGTTGGAGGGCTTGTATTGAAAGCTTGTGAATTGAGGAGGAGGGTCCATGACATGCTCTTTCCCTGGCTGGGTTGGTTGCTTTTGGGGAGGAAACTTATGCCCTTCACTAGCCATTGAAGCAATTGATATTGAAAGAAAGCTCAAGAGCTCTTGCAGATGATGAGAGAGTGTTAAAATGGAAGATAATGGAATGTTTGAATGAGAATAGGGAGGGTTTATAAAGGGGATTGGGAGAGTGACACGTGGAAGATGTGTGGAAGAATAGTGTACAAAGTGTCCACGTCATCTCATGCAATGGACACGTAGGACAAGTTTGGTGAAATTAAGGTGATGGAGAGAGAACATGAAGACACGTATGTTGGATAAAGTGAGGAAGTTAAGGTTGTAGTCGTCGCCTAGGATCATCATCATGTAGGAGGTGAAGGGATAAAGATGTTCAACTTAGATAGAGTGGAATTGAATGGATAAATTTTTTTTTTTATCCTTTTAAAAGGGTTCGATTTAATGCTTAATAGCTTAAAAAAGTGTTAACGAGACCAAATGATAACGAGTTGAGTAGGAACGTAGATAGAGAATTTTTCAACTCTGTTCTTGTTTCATTCTCTATTTTGAAGAAACGGGGTTAGAGTCGAGAATTTCAATTCAATGATCAGATCCTTATATTAAAAATTCTTATTTTTGTTTTGTATATCCGGGACGAATTTGGAGGCTAGGTGGAAATATTTTCGACTGAAAATTCGAGATGGATCTCCAATTTGACTTTATAATTAATCAAATTAGGGATACCACACTCGATTAGGAATAGAGCCCTACAAAGACTCGATCTTGTGAGTATTTTTGCCATCGTCCCAACTATAAATACACCAATAGTAAGTATAATTATATCATTTCATGTGACATTGTGCACATCAATCATATTCAACTTTAAAGAATAAATGTTGGTTAATGTATGACATTAAAAGTCAATGCTCATCCTTAAAAAAAACATCTACTATCGGAGAGCCACGTTTTAATGTCAGTCAATGTATAACATTAAAATTGACACTTATCAATAAAAAAAACATTTGTATTGCTCGACATTAAAAGTTGACTCTGCAATGTGATATTAAAAATCAATGCCCGACATTAATCAGTGTGACATCATATTGATTTGGCTACAACTATCTCAACTACGTAAGTAAACTTAGTACCAACCTCTCCGCATAATTTAAACTTTCATCTAACTATTGAGGCTCATAGTCAATCACGAGTCATATTTGCTATGTAGCATGGAGAGTATAGCACATAATGGTCTCTAAAGAGAGTTGTAGCGAATGCTCGCAAGTATGCTTCGGACCTAGTCTGCTTCCGTATCTCAGATTAATCAATGTAATATGAACATAGATTCTCCTTATGCCCAAAACTTTATAACGCCTTTCGTAGGAGCTATCTTCAGTCACCCTCTAAACTCTAAATCCCTACATTGCACATCAATGTAACTCTTTTGTCTGTCTTAGGTTATATGCTTGCATGTTTTGATCGTCTACATAGCCTCATTCTTAACTTGAATTAACTCTGGTCTTAGTAGTTTCCGCTTGCCAACTTCATATCAATATACAAAGGACTATACCTCTTTTCGTAGAGGACTTCAAATGATGTCATATCGATGGTTACTTGGTAATTGTTACTGTAAGCAAACTCGAAGAGATGTCAGTTGAAATCTAAACTACTTGCAAAATCCAACTACATGCGTAAAACATGTTCTCTAGAGTTTGATTTAGACGTTCTGGTCGTTTGTTTGGGGATGAAAGGTTGTACTAAACTTCAATCATGTACCCAACACCTTCTGAAGTCTCCACCAAAAGTTCAACGTGATTCACGAATCTTATCTAATACGCTACACACTGACAATCCATATAACCTAACAATTCTTTCAAGTATAGTTGTGCCCAACCGTCCAAGGAATAAGGGGATTTTCCTGATACGATGTGAAACGATTTTGTAAGTCAACCAATAATAACCCACATCATGTTTAGCCTTTAATCATATAGGAATTCCTTCGATAAAGTTTACGGTTATATCCTCTTTAATAAGCGCCAATAATGCTGAATTTGCAAAATTAGAGATCCTTCTAGGATCCATACAAACTCTAAAGTCGGCCAATGAACGTCTACCAAATGTTTTGATATCAAATGATAACAATTTAATATTGTTTTCTTTTTCTTTTTCTTTTTTTACTAACAATTTTTTCATATAATATATATATATATTGATAATCCATGACTCAGAAAAATTGACAGAAAAAAATAACATAAAGTAAAGAAATTTCATCTCTAGAGTCGGCCAAAGAACAAGAACCAAATACTCTGATACCAAATGATAAGCGCCAATAACGCTGGATTTGCAAAACTAGAGGTCATTCTAGGATCTTTACAACAGAATCTTTGAAAACTCTAGAGTCGGCCAAAGAACGTCGACCAAATACTCTGATACAAATGATAATCACCAACAATGTTGGATTTGCAAAGCTAGAGGTCCTTCTAGGATACTTGCAAACTCTAGAGCTGACCAAAGAACCAAATGCTCTGATACCAAATGATAAGAGCCAACAATACTAGATTTGCAAATCTAGAAATCCTTGCAAACTTTCACAAATAAACCTAACGTAAGGAATGATTCCAACCAAGAGCTAGTTAGAAAAATGAATAATTCTTAGATCGAACTTGGAACATATGATGGTCACTCTTAGATATCAAGACGACTCACTCCAAAATTTGATTGATTAATCAAGATTAATCCCAACAGTGCCTTCAACAATAAGCAAACAAAGCAAACTAGATACTTGTTCACAAATTCACAAATTCCACTATCCTTTTTATACATCGCCACTGAAAATAGTGCTTTATGTCTTGATAGATGTATAAAAAAGGCAAACCATGGGCCTACATTAGTACCTGATCCTCCTTGAGCTTTAATGCTTTCAGGCATGCACAATTGTCCTTGCCACAAGAGTCCCTTGTCTAATTCCAAAGAGAACCCTTCCCTAATTCTATCCCCAGCAAATGCCATCATTCAATCAAATACCATGTTTTTGTTCTTCTACTTTAAAATGACATTTAACAGACATGAAAACGAACATGAGTTGGCCTTGGGTTTTGAAAGTTAGGTCAAAAATAAAAAACATATATATATATATATATATATATATATATATATATATATATTGTTAACGGTGTTTAAAGAAAAGCTAGCCATAGAAATCCAACCAAATAAATGAAAACGAAAGATCCTTTGGAAGGCTATTCTTAATACTTTAGGAAGGAAACAACAGAGGATTTCTCTGACAGCTGAAGATAGAACCAAACTTCAGTACAGGCTTCGCGGCAACAACATTCATTCAGTCATGTTGGAAGGCCATATTGCAATCTCTGAATAACCATCTTCAGTTGCGCAAGCTCGGAACATTCCAGTCGTGTTGAAAGGCATAGCAACATCGCCCGAGGCTGATACTGCAATCAACCCAACATTGCCTTTCGGAACACTTTCGACAGCACAAGCTGCTGCTTCTTCAAGAGATAGATCCTTGAACTCCATTAGAGCTGCCACATCCCTTGCCACAGTACCACGTATGATGGCTTCGCCCTTTCCAGTTGCAGAAACTGCACAGAGATGGTTAGCATACGTCCCGGCCCCTATTAATGGAGTGTCGCCGATCCTACCGACCATTTTGTTTACTAATCCACCAGTGGAAGTTGCAGCAGCTAAATTCCCATGGTTATCAACAGCCACACATCCAACAGTCCCGATTTGACTGTCACCATTTCCAATCTCAGTTTCTTGTACTGTGGCTTGGGGACTTGGTTGAGTATAATCAATCTATAAGTGTTCATGACAACAGCTATCAATGTGCAGAAACAAAAAGTACCATAGAAATCAACCGATGCTAAAACATAAAAATCTCATGGAAACTCCATAATGTGATTTTTTCAACCCTATTAGACGGATATCTAGACCTATAAACTTTCGGTTCATAAAGAGAGCAGTCAAAGTCATGTTTGGGATAGAAGATTGTTAGGAATAACGACTCTCCACAACGGTATGATAATGTCCACTTTGAGTATAAGCTCTAATGACTTTGAATATAAGCTCTAATGGCTTTGCTTTAGACTTCCCCAAAATACCTCATACCAATGGAGATGTATTCCTTACTTATAAACCCATGATCATTCCCTAAATTAGCCAATGTGGGACTCTCTCCCAACAATTTTCAACAATCCTCCTCTCGAATAAAGTACACCATAGAGCCCCTGAGTTCTATATAGCCCTCGAATATCCTCCCCTTAATCGAGGTTGACTCCTTTTCTCGGGAGCCCTCGAACAAAGTACACCCTTTGTTCGACACATGAGTCACTTTTGACTACACCTTCAAGGCTCACAACTTCTTTGTTCGACATTTGACGATTTTATTGACATGGCTAAATTAAGGGCATGACTCTGTTATCATGTTAGGAATAACGACCCACCACAATGGTATGATAATGTCCACTTTGAGTATAAGCTCTAATAGCTTTGCTTTGGGCTTCCCCAAAAAACCTCATACCAATGGAGATGTATTCCTTACTTATAGATCCATGATCATTCCCTAAATTAGCTAATGTGAGACTATCTCCCAACAATCTTCAACAAAGATAAGAAGCAAACCTGCACACTGTTTGCCTCTTTAGCTTGTTTTAGCCTTTCAATGTTCTGTGGGGTGATAAAGTAGCTTGGATCAGTGGTCTCCACTCCCTTGACAATTTTAAGAAAATTGAACAGATAAGAAATTGGTGCACAAATAAAACAGTCATGAATCGCAAAGCATCTATCTGTGTACATAGGAACGGGGTAGAAATTCTAACTTGTTCCCTTGCAAAAGCCTCAGCTCCATCAAATGCTAGATATATATGAGGTGTTTTCTCCATAACAAGCCTTGCTAGAGATATGGCATTAACAACAGTGGTGAGCCCAGAAACGGCTCCACATCTCTTCTTACCATCCATGATGCTAGCTTCCATTTCGACGGTGCCATTGGTTGTTAAGACAGAGCCCCTACCTGCATTGAAATGTGGACAGTTTTCGAGCTCTCGTACCTGTACAAGAACAAATTCAACAGCACGGGAAAGTGTAAGAGAACCTACAGTTCAAAAGCTGACCATCTTACCATGGAAAAGAAGCCATATATAACCATGAATTGATCGTCAAGTCGAGATAATCTGTACTACAGTACTTGTAATCACGATGTTTATTTTTTGTATGTCGTTGAGAATTTCATTTTGGTTTCTTACAAAAATGAAATACACATTTGTTCTCCAAGCAATTCATCCATCTATACACACAGAAATTCCATTACAACCTATTGGAATTTTTTACATTACAGATCAATCATTACAAATTTTAAACAACATTGTGAAAGAAATCGTTATGCACACAAATCAATAGACAAAATCGTTACGAACTCTAAGATTACACAAACTTAATCGAACCAATTTTATATTAAACCAGAGTGGTAGAAAAACAGAGAGAGGGAGTAAATAATATTCACCACAAGTTCAACAACATCCAATGGAGGTTTCTGCTCTTTGAGAGCTTGAACGCCGATCTGCAGGCAACGACGGAGGGTTTCCTCGCGGGGTTGGCGGCGGTCCAGTGACAAAGAGAGAGGGATGTCGCCGGCGCCGCCGTGAAGAGCAATTGCCCAACCCATTTAGGTCCCGCGCCAATGGATCAAACCACCAACCCTAGGTAATTTAGAAGATCGATCGCCGACGATTTACGGGAGGGTTCATGCAATTGCTCCAATCTGTCGATGATGGAGGCAGAGAGAGCCGCTTAGTCGTCTTGATGACATGACGTGAGATTATTAGAAGGCTTGCTTTGTTCGATGTAACCAAGGTAGGTATTGATTTTTGTTTTATTATTAAATAACTTTTTAATTTTTCATTTATTTAATGCCAATTGCATATACTAACTACACAAAATAGTATCAAATCTAATCCACTAAAAAGTATTTTTGTAAATATTATAATCTAACGTGCTCCAAATGAGGCGGCCGAGAATTGTTTACAAGAGGGTTAAATACCGACAAATATGAGAGCTTTCACGGTCATCTCAACATGGTGCGACAAACAAGAACTAGTGTTGAGGGAGAGTGTTAAAATATCATCACTAGCCCAATAGAAATAAGTCGGTTAGAAAAAATAATTTATGTATTTTAAGAATAAGATATCAATATATTTTAACAAAATGATTTATGTATTTTAGGAATAAATTATTGGTCTTTTTTGTAAATACCCCTCCAACCTACCAAGTTTTTAATATCGAGCAGTACAAGTAAAACAAGTTGGAATAGTATTTTACAGTGTCTTGTAATCTCTTCTCGATTGGTCTTAAGAAAGAGTGCGAGTGTTTCTCACAAAGAGTTGTGTGTTCAACATCTTGGTCTACTAAAAACGTACTAACCTAGGTTAACACGAAAACTGCTCTAGTCTAGTGCCCTAATCTTAACCTAGTTCTCTCTCGTGCATGCTTAGTTAGAGAGATTATGTCATCAATCACCAAATCATGGAATTCATGATCTAAACGTTTATGCAAGCTCAATGGAGAGATAACATCCATCAACAACTGGAGATCACAATATCACACCATCTTTTCTAGTACAATGGAAATCATTAAAATCAACATACACTTCAATTCTCATCCTCAGGCATTTCGGTAATTTCTATAATATATGTACCATTTTCATCCATTGTCTACGGCTGGAGATCTAAATTTTCTGAAATTTTTCTTGGAGGAGCAATTGTGCTTTCAATGTGACAAGTGGCACACGCATATAGATGCTTCCTAGTCAGGTCGGGTTGGATCGTAGTAGAGGCAAGCGATTCAAGTCGACGGTCGGTGAATCAGGTTGCAGATAGGCACTTCCTAGTCAGGTCGGGTTTGAAATAAATATATTTTTTATATCTAATATATCTAATTATTGAGATTTTTGTGCATAAGGTCTCGTACTTAATTATTAATTTTGTTTTATTATTTTATGTACAGTGTAATATTATCCACCGTATGAAAATCTAACATTAATAATGTAATATTGAATAGTAGGTGGTGACATATAATATGAAACTAGGGTAAATGAGGGTACATGAATGAACCAAAATCACAACTAAATGAGAGCCATCTCGAGGATAGGATGACTGAGAAAGATTTAAAAGAATTGAAAGTCACTACCTATACCAACAAGGTGCACCTTCCTTTTCGTTGGCTCAATAATAGGAACCTCATGGTTAAGCGTGCTTCACTTAGAACAATTCTATGTTGGGACGTAGGTGCCAAATTCAAATTTCGAATCTTAATCCAAATCTTGGACATGAGTTGATTCAAATGGTATAAGAGCGATACCTGTCCTAGTAAGATGTGGTTCAAGGAAGAACCAAAGTAGAAATTATTGGGCATGTGAGATCCGAGTTAGAAATGTCCATTTTACCCGCAGGACTTGACCCAAATGAGGAGGGGATGACAAAAAATCGGAGAGGAAGTGAGGGAACATTTTTTTTTTTTTTTTCCATTAGGTGTGTGTGCGCGCATGTGTGTGTGGAGAATTTTGATGGGGATGGAGAATGAATTAGGTGCCGGAATGGGGACGAGGAAGACTTCCCCATCCCCACCCTGCCCATTGGACATCTCTAACTCGAGTAAGGAAGGGTACATGAATGACTGAGAATACATCCAAATAAGAGCGATCCTAAGGATAAGATAGCTAATAAATATATAAAAGAATTGAAAGTCACTGCCTATACCAACAAGTTGCACATTCATTTGTTTGTGGCTCAACCATAGGAACTTCATGATTAAGCGTGCTTTATATGGAGCAATTCTATGTTGGGTGTAACGCCCCTAATTTTCTTCTCTAAACTAGTGACGTCACCACATGCATGCTTTAAATAACATAGGGGGAAATTCATAATAAACATTTTAAAATGAAGTCATTGACTTACACATTTAATTTAAAATAAGAAAATAAAAGTAACATGGTCTTTAGACATGAATAATGAAATAAACAATCTATCAACTACTAAATGAGATTTAATGCATGTTATTGCTCTATCTTGACTTCTATGGCCTTTCCCGCATTCACCAAATATGTGCAGGTACGCTTTACCTTTACCTAAAAAATAAGGGTTGATTTATATGGTAAAGAGGAAAGAGGAATATATTCGACGGTAACGAGGGTAAGTAACCACTTTGGACGACTTGGACGGGTTGAAAGAGGAAAGAGGAATATATTCGACGATAACGAGGGTAAGTAACCATACCTTTACCTTTACCTAAAAAATAAGGGTTGATTTATATGGTAAAGAGGAAAGAGGAATATATTCAACGGTAAAGAGGGTAAATAACCACTTTGGACTGTTTGAAGTAGCTGAGCATGACCCTCAAAATTAAGTCGTTCATACTTCAACGAAGAATACTTAAAAGAGTGACATAAATTTCCATTGCCGGGAATTGAACCCGAGTCTTATGGGTGAAAGCCAAATATCCTAACCGCTAGACGACAATGGAACTTGAATCACTTTAAAATAATAGAAGAAAATTCTCGATTAAATGGAATAATGGATTGTTTGAAGTAGCTGAGCATGACCCTCAAAATTAAGCATGCTTACATCGAGTATGCTTTACTTGTCCATACTTCAACGAAGAATACTGAAGAGTGACATAAATTTCCATTGCCGGGAATTGAACCCGAGTCTCCTAGGTGAAAGCCAAATATCCTAACCAGACAACAATGGGACTTTTTGAATCACTTCAAGTAAGATAATAGAAGAAAATTCTCGATTAAATGGAATAATGGACTGTTTGAAGTAGTCCTTCTTTCAATTGGGACATAAAATTTCCATTGTCGGAAATTGAACCCGGGTCTCCTGGGTGAAAGCTAGATATCCTAACCGCTAGACAACAATAGAACTTTTTGAATCATGGTAAGTAAGATAATAGGAGGAAATTCTCGATTAAATGGAATAATGGAAGTTAAAAGAGGGTAAGTAACCACTTTGGACTCTTACAATAAACACATATGCTAAACCATCATGTACGAAGGACTCTTGCAATAACCACTTTGGACTGTTTGAGGTGGTTGAGCATGACCCCCAAAACTAAGCATGCTAAACCATCATGTATGAACTTGGGTACGTCGAAAACACCTAGTAAGATGAAATTGAACCTCGAGTATGTTTTACATACCAAATGCTAAATAAGTTCATTCAAGCATGTTGAGAGGAAAATACGCATGCTTATGATCATATGAACTTCAATTAGTTGATTTGGAACTTTTTGAGTCATTGTAGGTAAGATAATAGCAGTGTTAAGGGATTCAAACCATCATGTATGAACTTCGGTTGGTCGAAAACATCTAGTAGGATGAAATTACCATATCCATACTTCAATAAATTTCTTAAGGGTAAAGTCAAATATCCTAACGCTAGACGAAAGCACAACTTGTTGAATCATTGCAAGTAAGATAACCGGAGAAATTTTTTGATTAGATGAAACAATGGGAGTTAACGAGAGGAAGTAATAAATACGTGGACTTGGAAGGTTTGAAGTGGTTGAGTATGATAAGGTAACAGCAGCAATATACAAGAATGAATTCATTATCGTGGCTCGACACGATCGTATTTACGACATCATACGACAAAACGAAGAATTTCTTTTACAAAATGCAGCAGATTTGTTCAAGTTGAGAATGAAGCAAAGCCAATGTTCATCTTAGCACTATTGAACCCTAAACAGACGATTTTCCTCACACTAGCAAAGTTTTTCTTGTAATTGAAACCTTTCTTTACTTGACCTTCAAGCTTTGTCTTGCACATCTGAATATCATTGAGCTGCCCTTTCATTGTCTCAACCTCCCTTTTCATCCTACTTATCTCCTTCTGTGAACTCATCATCCAACTCGACCCTCCCCTACTTTCACCCATCACAACTCGGCTTTTCGTTTGACCGTTACTCATTCCAAATTCGGCTCGAGGCCTCGTCATGACTTGTTCCAAAAGAATAAAACTCGTCGTGTATTTCAATGGTAACCGATCGTTTCTCATTATGTGTTCCCTTGCTGCTTGTGATAGTTTATGGTATTTCAATGAGCTACATAGACATGTCCTTTCTTCTTCTGTTAACTCAGGATGTGCCTGCAAAACCAAGACTTCTTTCATCATTCAAGTTCAAACTTTGCATTTCCCAAATGAGATGTATATGAAAGTTGCTTACCTTCAGGTACATATCAATTGCTCGATACAGATTGTCGAAACAAACCCGAGCGTTTTGCGGCAATGCCTCGACAAGGACTTGGAAACAATCCGCCCTGAGGTTTTGATCTCGTGCAACAAGCATAAGATAATCGTCCACTAATCGACCAACAACTAGTAGATTGGTTTGAGAGTTATCTGTTATGTGAGCTGCATAAGATTTCACCACCCGAGTAACAATGGCAACGTCGTAAACACTATCGCCTTCTCCGTAGTTCTTGACAAGTAAATCCGAGGCGTCACATTTTTCCAACATCATGGCCAATCTACTTTCTAGTATGGTTAACAATTCAGAGTCAATCTTCATTACAGATCCCAGCTTCAAAATATGAAGCAGAAAACTAGAGGTAACCGAGTTTTCCTCGAACGGAAGTATCCGAATCAAACTTTCAACCGTAACTGATCTCAACTTGTTGTTGAGATGCTGCAACGTCGAATTCTCGAGTCCGTTCACTGCAGAAGAAAACCATCTCATTGTCCAATGAGCTATACAAGATCCTATAACCTCGGACCTCATTCCTCTTCGTTTACCCGATTCAATCACTTCAATGAAATGATCAATCCTAAGAAATGAAACATCCGCAAACCACCAGTTGTCAGCGACAACCTCGAGCTTTACGTTATCAACATTATAGTCATTGTTACAGAACGCCTCTGGATTCATACAAGCCTTAAAAGCAATTGCTTCAGAACAACGTTTCGGGATGTGAAGCCGATTTGCGCATCGAGAAATGGATTCACAACTTTTGAGAACTTTGAATGTATCATTCCATGATGATGATATTACAAAGCTCATGAAGGCTTCTGCTTTGGAAGTTAAATTCCCTTGTGTAAGATCATCAGTCATTTCTAGGAAATGTGCAGCACAGTAAAGAGGAGCAACATTTTTAGCAGTTAAATCAACCTTCCATCCATAGCAGAATTTCATCACTAACTCAAAAGCCATAGCCCCACCTGGAAGATTGTCAAGTTCTATGGTACTCACACTGTTGTTCTTTTGCACTTCATGGCTACTGTTTTGGATTATCATTCTATTCAGGTATTTGCTTCTTGCTACCATTGGGAGCTGAAAACATCCATCACAATCCAACTCAAGAATTTCAAATTTTATATAAGATAAACCGTCCATGTTTCAAATCGAAAATAGACGACATAGGATAACTGTAACAACCCAGGCCCACCGCTAACAGATATTGTCCTCTTTGGGCTTTCCCTTTCGGGCTTCCCCTCAAGGCTTTAAAACGCGTCTGTTAGGGGAAGGTTTCCACACCCTTATAAATGGTGATTTGTTCTCCTCCCCAACCAATGTGGGACATCACAATAACAATACTTGAAAAACAGGGATTAATGAAGAACATGAATCGAACTCGAATCAATGAACTCGAAAAGGCTGCATCTCTTAAAGATTCGTATTGAAATAGCTAAAACTGATACCTTGTGCAAGTTAAATCTGAAATCCCCAACTCGAACAATTAAGTCGCTTTCGTATGCTGGTTTTGTCTGAACAATCCTTCATTGAGAAGATTTTAAGTTAAGACGTGCTCAAAGAGAGGAGAGGTATATGTTAGTGTATCAGGAGTTTACCAGTTCTTGTTACTTCTGTCCATAGACTCAGCAACCAGGCTTGATTTGACTGGAAAAATGACACATTTGTTCCGCTTCCCGCCGATCACGGATCCACACGTCGGGATTTCCCTATTTAGATTCCTCCTTCCTTCTGTCATCTCAACAGGAACAATGGTGGCAATTCTGTACTCTAGTTTTTCCTTAAAGTTTCAGAAGAACAGCAGAAAGTGTTCTGTTTTCACTTTTTGTGTTTTTTGTTTCTGCTATGGTCAGATGAATAGTACACATCTCCTTAAATAGGACTTTTCATAACCAAAAAGGTCATTCTTCATCCAAAAAGTGAAAGAAAAAACATTAAATGCTTCATTACAGAGTTCTAGACAAAAGGAATGTCTGTTAGCTAATGAAGTAATTACACATTAATGGAGTTAGTTGGCTTCTACTGTCGGATGTCATTGTCAGAAAATGTCCAGAAGACAAAATTAGAAACAACAATCAGCACTCATTTGTTCTTCATTCTTATCCACAAACAAGAAGTTGATGACCTCACCCGTCTCTTTCAATGTCTGCTACAATGTAGCCATAATCACAACCCAATCCTTATAGCATTAGTTGTATTATCATGAAACTGAGTGCTTAATCCTCAGCCATGAATGTTTCAAATAGTGCATGTGGTCGATACTGTGACACGTTCTAAGTTGTGGAAAATTTGTTTTGTCGAAAAGTTTTCTAAAAAATGTATGGTCTATAATGTTCGGCAACAATTAAAGAAACGAATCTATGTTTATATTTTGTAAGGAATGAATATACGTTGAATCTATAGGTACTACTTAAAAGTCTTTTGCTATCGTATAAAGAAAAAAGAAATAAAGTGCCTTACAAGTTGGGATACTGTCTTCTAAGCTCATGATCTTCCTCATTTCCAAATAGACTTTTAGCTGCATTCCAGACAAAAGTAATAACATGATACCCATAAGTGCAACAAAATGATACGTGCAACCGAATGAAAAACTACGACCGATAAAAGAAACACTACGAAAGGGTTTAAGATGTTTAGAAAGACCCTACAATGTTCTAGGCCCCATATCCTAGTTACCTTTCTATGAGCTCTCCACTTTCCGAGCTCGCTCGCAAAGCCAAAACTTCCATGACTTGCTCGGGTTTATATAAGTAAGCATTCTTTTTTTCTCCAATACGTCATGCTTTTAACCAGATATTCAACCAACGTATTCATTCGATGGAGTTCGGCCAACTTAAAACTGTTCTAAACTTTGTCCCAAAAACAGAGCAGAAAAACAAGGAAAAAGAAAATTCGATCTTAGAAATCATCTGCACTTAAATGATTATTATGAATATAACAAAGAGATTTCAAATTTTGATTCCGATTTTCTTCGGGTTCTCATCAACCGAAGACGTCGCCATGGAATATTTACACGAAATTTTGAAGATCTTCAAAAGCTACTTCGTGCAGCTATGGTTGGGTGAGTTATTAAAGACAGATAGATAGATAAGTTGTTTTATAACATTAAGTTCAACTAAACAGAATAAGGAAACTACAGTTTCTTTATATGGGAATGTGAAGAAAAGCATCAAATATTTTCAGGTATGATATAAAGTTACACATTTTTTTACTGTCATTACCAACAATGCAGAGAATAGTAAAGCATAAATAGAGAAAGAGGAGTAACTTTTTATAGCTCAATCAAGATATCTACTCTTGTCAAGCAAAATATCTACAGGAAGTATTATGAAGGGCTTCAGATCAAATCTTCGGTGTAAATTCTCCGATCGGACTGTTGTGTGTGTGTGTGTGTGGTTTGGCATCGACATGAGCTTGCTCGGAGGAGACTCCGTCTGCAACAAGTGACAGGAAATGGTGTGAGTATAGGCCAAACAAAAATCTTAAATCTAACTATGAAGGTGTTTGGTTCACGAGTTTGAAACGATCGAGTTTCGAGAAGCTCAAGTCGGGATGATCTTAATTCGTGGGTTTGTGATTGTAAAATACCATTCATAGTCTAAGATAAGCAAACAACACATATACCAATACAAACACGACTTCTCAACTACAGTCCGTACAGACGAAATATACTGCCAAACATAGACTCGGTTTTGGCTATACGAACCAGACGTATTATCGAAACGCCCCTTCAAAATATTCAATGGAATGGGAGTTGAAACAAAAAAATTTGAGTTTATTAAAGTTCCAACTCAAATGGAAAGTGTAAGCTGCATGTATGATTGATGATAATATATACTTCAAATGCACTTGAAAGGCAATGTTTTTCAACAAAAACATGCAACATTACAGAACGAAACGAAATTTGAAATATGCACAAACTCGAAAACAAGAAATCTTCTCGAAGATAGTATAGACCATATGAAACATTATATATATACCACCACAGAACTAACTTTTCGATTTGAATAAAAAGAGATCACACGGAAAGAACAAAGTGAAACATACGGTTCTCCTTCGTTTATGTGTGGCAAGCTACTATTGATCAGGAGGGGCTTGATCTTGTGTGTGTTGCCACATTTGTGGAGGCATGTAAGGGTGTGATTGTTGAGCATATATAGCCGGGTCCATCACAGGCTTGCCCATAATCATTCCGGGTGCTCCGACCTGAGGTGCATGCTGAGACGGCATATAGCAGTAAGGAAGTGCATCTCCAGGTCCTCCAACTGTTATCGATCCTCTTGGAATTGATGTGAGTACTTCGTCTTTCAGATCCTCCCTAGGCACGATATCAACCAGAAAATCGAAAATGTCAGTTCTGGTGATAGCTGCAGCAATATCATTCTTTTGAAGCGTTCTGCGCTTGTTCTCTTCAGTATGATTCCAAGAGCGTAAAGTCAATTCAAGGATGAACATTTCACATGCCCTAGCGAATAAAACAGGTGCCTCAGCTGATATCATTCGTACGTCCTCGTCAGCCTTCATGATCTTCTTGATCCTTGCTAAGGGAAGACTATGGTTCTTGAAGTCCGTTACCTTCTCAATCTCTTGGTACTGATTAGCCCAGAAAGTCTGGAGCTGTTGTTGAAGCTGTTGTTGCTGCTGCTGGTGGATATGCTGATAAGCAAGTTGATGTTGACCAAGCTGCGCTCCACCAGGTTGACTCGTAGACTGAATACCTCCAACCGATGTAACAACAGATCCAGAAGTCGAGCCTACAGTTATTTGGCCGGGATGGTACAAGTTACTGCCATATGCTATCTGACCACCACTGCCAACCGCTCCCATGGATTGAGGCTGGCCATGCCCTTGCTGATCCATCAAGGTCTAAATAAACTTGACAACTTCTAAAAAGAACAAAAAAGGGAATAATCAAAATATAAACACTACACAGATAGATCTCAGGAGGGAGGAAAAGGAACAACTTTTATAACCAGGAAGAAACCCGAAAGTTGTCAAAATTCTACGACAAGTAATAGGAATCTACCACAGAGAACGTTTACAAGACAGAGACCATGATATATGAACCTTTCACTTCATTATCAACGATTCAACCCATCAGAACGACTGGGCCTTAAAAACTGAATCGCTCGAAGTAAAATCAATGCACACTTCGAGAGTGATCATTGATTACAGTAAAATTTCTCCGAAATCAATAGATCTCATATCAAAACATATCAATAAGGCTTTTCCATGAAGAAAATTCACAGCACAGAACTCGTACAAGTCGACTACCAGTCAGTATTATGCTAAGATATTGGACTCCTCACCTTCTTTCTTTATTATAGATCTTACATCTTCGTACTGGTTCGAGTAATTTCCAAACATGTCAATGATATATTTCGAACTGGTTCGAGGTCCAAATGTGCAAAAATCTATATCTACATGCTTCCTAACCTATATTTCATTGTACAGGCTAAGCAAAACAGCTACATCAATCCTTAAATGACACGAAAAACATCACAACCAAGCCCCAATTCCATGTCGATCATGATTAAACACGCGGCGAAAACAAATCCTACAAACAACCAACAAGCTACAAGAAACTCCCCTGCTTTACTGTTGATTTCACTCAGATGCAATTCATCAAACAGGTAGAGATCACACAAAATTAAACGAGGAAATTGATATATTGATCTTATCCTAATCCAACATACGACTCATTCATGTTCATACCAAAAGAAAACCTAACGAGCAGTCGATAGAGAACCAATCTTCCTTCACATTGATTTCAGCTATTTTCATATCAAAAGATCATCAACATCCGGCAATCACAGAACCCAAAAAGCTATTTCAAGAACAATTAATGATTTCCACAACAAACCCAGAAAGGAAATCATAAAATTTACAGACAAAAAGGATCAAGCAGAGGGAGAGAGAGAGAGAGAGGAGAGTAGAATTACCTTTTTGAGAGACCCCAATTGAGCAAGATCTTGAAGACCCTGAAAGCGAAAAAGGAAAATCGATGAGAAAAAGCTTGAAAAAGAGATCTACGGCGAAGAACGGAGGATGACCCATGATGTTATATTTGAGACTTTTTGTTCTGTTTGTTGGGGTTTGGAAATTCTCCGTACAGTGCAATGGAGATCTCCAAATTGGATGAAAACTTTTTTTTTTTTTTTTTTTTTTCCCTCTTCTCTGGGGGTTGCGGAAGAGAAAATCAGAGAGATTCTGAAGGTCTTAATTCCAAAAGATTAATTTTTTTTTTTTTTTTTAGGGTTAAAAACCTGACCTTTAAAAAGGAAGGAAAGGAATAGCTGAGAGTGTATATATATGTCTTCGATTTCGACTTACAATTGTCATAGCCAAAAGGTCCTTTTTATAGTCCATCATTTGGTTTCTTATTTTCCTTTTCTTTTTCTCTTTCCCAAAACCCAATCCATTCAATTCAACTTAAAATTTATTTAAATTAAGTTCGATTTAGTTAAACAAACGAAGATTTTATGGATCGAATATTTTATATTTATTGTTAATTTTAAAATATATATTTTTTATTTAATTTCAGGACAACTTTTGAAAATAATTTTTAACGGTAATTTTTTTCACAAATATATATTCAAATTGAGTGAGAATTTATTAAAGGTTTTAAAATAAGTAAATAGAGGTAACTGAAGTTTTGTTTTTATTAAAATAAAAAATATTTTTTTTACTGAAATTTTGAATAAATTATCTTAACAAACTTGAATCAAATTAAGTTAAAAAAATTTTATAGTTGGATTGAGTTGATTAGATTTGTTATTTAATAAATGTTGTTTGGGTTGGAAATGTAACGACCGAAGATTTCTATTACCTAAAGTTGTTATTGTCATCTTATCCTAAGCTCTTACGTGGAATTTAACTCTTAAAACATCATCTATAAAGAATTCGTAGAACTAGAATCAAATATTGTAAAAGCGTAATGACTTGAAATTGGTAGTGTACCTGTCACCACGATCACCACGATGTCGGACCTCCCAGTGTTTCTACTGGTGGACGCATATTGATAAGAATCACGGTGTTCCAAATGAACCTATTGCCAAGAAGATTCAAAAAATTATGTCAACAACAGAATTCGAATCTATGTGAGCTCAATTGATTTCAAACCTGTCGCATTAGTCACTCAAGTACATTAATATTTGTTAGAAAAAAAACTATTTATAATTTCATAAATTATGTAAAAGTCAAATGTCAATTTGCCTTATTCTTTTGCGGAGATTAAAAGGGATCGGGAATAAATCCCGTCCACAAACGTCTTTTATCGGGAGACTATAAATACCCACAATATGTTATGTAAAATTTAAATTCGTGGATGAATGTAATTCAGATCTCAAATTGAGACGTTTCCCTTAGAAATTCGAGCATCATATTTGTCATTTCCAAGTTTCAATCAATTCTTGGGGTAGAATTGCACCCGAGCCATTCAATCAAGCATTGATCAAGTTAGATTGTAGAGCGACTCAATTTAGAACAAGGTTCCAAATCTTGCTTCTAGATCTTTGATTGTAAGAGGTAATCTAATTCTAGCATTATCTCTTGGTTGATCCAAATTTCGTATAAGAAGGTGTTAATTACTTTGATTCGAGGGTTTTTACTAAAACAAAAGCTTGGATCGTTGGGCTGAGGATTAGGGTTGCCTTATCAGTTTGGTATCAGAGCGTAGGTTGCATCTTTGTGGCCGACTCTAGAATTGATTTTATCTTTAATTTCCGCTATTGTTTATCGTTTCTTTAAATCTGTTCATTTATTTTCTTGCTGCCATTCATACCGTTCTTCATTATCTTTCCTCTGAAATTGTTGTGTTCAATATTTTTTTTTCCATCATTTAAAACCGAAGATAACTTCTAAATTTTTCCAAATTCTGTAAAAAGGAAAGTTAGATCGTTCTCAAATCTTCACAACCATTCTCTTTGGAATTCATTTTTTCCAGTGTGCAATTCTATCCCAAAATATCTTTGTGTCTCTTATTTGTTTGTTCACTTCTTGTTTTATTTGGTTGATATTTCATAATTAACTTATCTTGATTGCTTTGAATAGCTTGCTACTATCAGAATTGCTTTACCCATATATTAGCCTACCTTGATCATAATTTAGTCACTTTCCCAAACAGCCTACCTTTGTGTGTATAAACACGAGTGTCCCTGAGTGTAAAATCAGTGAGTTGAGTATTTGAGGTCCTAAACATATTTCACTATTATTTGTACAATCATGAACCAAGACGAGGAAAATGGAGGGGAGATTAATGATCTAGTTGAAGAAGTCCAGAAGAATGAGGAGGAACTGGAAGATGGGATTCATTTGGCACTTATAACAAGAAGACTTGTTAAAACTCAAGTTACGGAGAATGATGTTGATGATCAAAGAGACAACCTGTTCCACACGTGGTGTTTAGTCAAGGGGACTGCTTGTAGTCTTGTCATTGATAGTGGAAGTTGCACCAATGTTGTAAGTACCATGTTGATCAAAAGATTGCAAATTCCAACCCAAGATCATCCTAAACCTTACAAGATCCAATGACTCAATGATAATGGAACAATGAAGGTAGTTTCTCAAGCTTTAATATCTTTACTTTGGGAAAATATAAAGATGAAGTCCTTTGTGATGTGTTACCAATGCAAGTTGGAGATATGTTGCTTGGCCGACCATGGCAATTTGATAGGAGGGTTATGTATGATGGCTATATGAATAGGAATTCTTTTGTAAAAGATGGTAGAAAAACCACTCTTGTACCTTTGAGTTTTCTTTGAGTTCTGCAAATGTATTTGCTGATAAATTTAAGTTTGAGGAAAGAAAGAAAGAGTTTGAGGAAAAAGAGTTGAAAGAAAAACAAGAGTTTAGTGAAAAAACATAGAGAAAAATCAAAGAGAAAAAAAGAAGAATGAAAAAAAGAGATGAAATTGAAGAAAAGAAGGGAAATAGATGAAATTGAAGAAAAGAAGGGAGAGAAAGAGTTATTTTGCTACAGTTGGAGAGGTGAGAAGGTTTTCACAAAAATCGATCTTTGTACTTATGTACAATCGAGGATTTTTGGTATCTAACTATAACAACTTGACTTTGCCTAGTGTTTTTCAATCTCTTTTACAGGAAGTTGAAGACATGTTTCAAGATAAAGAAATATCTCTCATTAGAGGTACTAAACATAAAATAGACTTCATTCCAAGGACTGTCATTCCTTATACACCAGCTTATCGAGTCAATCCATCTGAGACAAAAGAAATTCAAAGAAAAGTGGAGGAGCTCATGAAGAAGGGCTATATACTAGAAAGTGGAGGAGCTTATCGAGTCCATGTTCTATACGAAACTTCTTGGTGCCAAAGAAAGATGAAACTTGGCGCATATGCATGGATAATCGAGTAATCAACAAAATCACGGTAAAGTATTTACATCCTATTCCTAAGTTAGACGATATGCTTGATTTATTGCATGATTCATGTCTATTTATAAAAATTATTTTGAAATTTGGATATCATCAAATTAGAATGCATGTAGGAGATGAATGGAAAACAACTTTCAATATTAAGTTTGGATTGTATGAATGGCTTGCTATGCCTTTTAGGTTAACTAATGCTCCTAGTACACCTATGTGCTTAATATATAATGTTTTGAGAAAATATATGGAAAACATGTTGTTGTTTATATTGATGATATTATAATTTATTTGAAGATTTTGTCTGAGGACCTTGTTAAATTATTGATTACACATAGAAAAGAGAAATTTAATTTTAATAAGGGTAGTTTTTGCATGGAAAAAATTCAGTCTATTGGCTTCATAGTTAGTAAAAGTAGAGTAGCATTAGATAGAGACAAAGTTAAATTCATTATGGATTTGACAACACCAAAAAGTGCACGTAAAGTTCGAAGTTTTCATGAGTTAGCTAACCTCTCTAAGAGATTTATAAATGATTTTAGAACCATAACTGAACTATTGAATGACTTAGTGAAAAAGAATGTTGTTTTTAAATGGGGAGAAATGCAAGATAAAGCATTCAATTTGCTTAGGAAGAAATTAAGCAATGCATCATTATTTGTTTTGCCTAGCTTTTATAAAACTTTTAAAATTGGATGTGATGTATGTGGTTTGGTCATAAGTGCTATTTTAATTCAAGATGGAAAGCCGTTAGTGTATTTTAGTGAAAAACTAAATGGGGCAACATTGAAACACCCTACCTATGATAAAGAATTGTTTGTAATTCATATATTTCATGTGCCGCAACACTACTTATGGCCTAGAGAATTTGTGATCCACTTTGATCATGAAAACTTGAAGTATGTGAAGGGTCAAAGCAAACTGAACCGTAGACATGCAAAGTGGATGGAATTTATTGAAACATTTTCGTATGTCATCAAGTATAAGTAAGGTAAAGATAATATGGTAGCTCATGTGCTATCTAAAAGGTACGATCTCTTTACTCATCTTACTACAAAAATTCTTGGATTTGAGCCTATTACAGAATTATATACAGATGACCAGGACTTCAGAACTATTTATGCATTTTGTCTTGCAAAAAAAGCGATGAATGATTATTATGTGTTTCCTAAATTTTTAATTAAGAAAAGTATGCTTTGTATTCGTAAATGCTCTATAAAAGATTTGTTTTTGAGAGGAGCATATAGTGTTGCCTTAATGGGACATCTCAGGATTAATAAAGTTTATAAGATGTTGCATAAATACTTCTTTTGGCCAAAGACGAAGCACGATGTCTATAAGTTTTGTAGCAAAGGTTTGAAACGCAAAGAAACTAAATCTAGATCACAACTAAACGGATTTTATACTCTTTTGAATATACCTAACAAATCTATAAAATTTGTTCTTGGTTTACTGCACACTAAAAAGAGTAAAGATTGTATTTTTGTTGTGGAAGATATATTTATTAAAATGAGTCGAAATGGATGATGCAAAGCATACTGCTGACTTATTCTTTAAGAAAGTAGTTTATGGATTTAATACACTTCACTTGCTTCCTATTCCTTCTAATATTTTTGTGAGTGAAGCATGCATCAAAACATTTCCTTTGATTTAATGTTGACTTATTCTTTAAGAAAGTAGTTTATGGATTTAATACACTCACTTACTTCCTATTCCTCCTAATATTTTTGTGAGTGAAGCATGCAGATTTGATCAAAACATTTTCTTTTATTTAATTACACTTCATTTGCTTCCTATTCCTTCTAATATTTTTCCGAGTGAAGCATGCAGATTTGATCAAAACATTTCAAAAGGAGGCGAAGGTGACGATTTTTCTGATCCTTCTAATATTTTTGTGAGTGAAGCATGCAGATTTAATCAAAACATTTCCTTTGATTTAATACACTTCATTTGCTCCCTATTCTTTCTAATATTTTTGTGAGTGAAGCATGCAGATTTGATCAAAACATTTCAAAAGGAAGCGAAGGTGACGATTTTTCTGATCCTTCTAATATTTTTGTGAGTGAAGCATGTAGATTTGATCAAAACATTTCCTTTGATTTAATACACTTCATTTGCTTCCTATTCCTTCTAATATTTTTGTGAGTGAAGCATGCAGATTTGATCAAGACATTTCAAAAGGAAGCGAAGGTGCGAAGGTTCTAATATTTTTGTGAGTGAAGCATGCAGATTTGATCAAGACATTTCAAAAGGAGGCGAAGGTTATTTTTGTGAGTGAAGCATGTAGATTTGATCAAGACATTTCAAAAGGAGGCGAAGGTGACTACTTTGCTGATTCGAGGACGAATCCTTTTGAATAGGGGGAAGATTATAAGAATCACGGTGTTCCAAATGGACCTATTGCCAAGAAGATTCAAAAAAATATGTCAACAACAGAATTCGAACCTACTTGCAAAGAGCTCAATTGATGTCAAACCTATCGCATTAGCCACTCAAGCACATCAACATTTGTTAGAAAGAACTATTTTTAATTTTATAAATTATGTAAAAGTCAAATGGTCAATTTGCCTTATTCGTTTGTGAAGATTAAAAGGGATCGGGAATAAATCCCGTTCACAAACGTCTTTTGTCGGGAGACTATAAATACCCACAATATGTTATGTAAAATTCATATTCGTGGATGAATGTAATTCAGATCTCAAATTGAAACGTTTCCCTTAGAAATCTGAGCATTATATTTGCCATTTCTAAGTTTCAAGCAATTCTTGTGGTAGAATTGCACCTGAGCCATTCAATCAAGCATTGATCAAGTTAGATTGTGGAGTAACTCAATTTAGAACAAGGTTCCAAATCTTTCTTCTAATTCTAGTCTTATCTCTTGATTGATCCAAATTTCGTATAAGGAGGTGTTAATTACTTTGATTCAAGGGTTCTTGCTAAAACAAAAGCTTCGATCGTTGGGCTGCGGATTAGGGTTGCCTTATCAGATATGCTCTAGCTTGAGCACAAGTTTGCACCAAGTTGTCTGCCTCTTCCAATGCTCTAGGTGGATTAGGTGGGTTTTCGATGTTTTTGGTCGTGCAGTTGATGGTGATATAACCCTTTTTGCCACATCGAAAAAAAATCTCATCCTGGCCATACATCTTCCTCCGTGCAACTTCCCACAGATCTCGCACCCAAATTCCCCCCTTCATCTAGCCCCATCTTGGTTCTTGGGGTGTTTGTCCGTATGTCGGGGAGGGTGCCTCTCAACTTGTCGAGGGTCAGATCGGTCGGTGTAGTGGGGTTTATGCACTGGTGGCCGATGGATTGAGTCTCTCGAGTCAAAGGGACGTTTGTGTCCAATAGTAACTGACTTCTCTAGCCTTACCTCACTTTGGGCTTCTCTAGGGCCTTGGCAATTTTCAAAACTTCTTCATATGTGTCTATGGAGTCCCACTGTGCAGCAGATCTTCGAGTCCAGACCCAAAACATATTTCTCGGTCATGTTTTGTTCAGTGTCGACCAATGATAGCGCAAATCTTTTTAATCTCATAAACTCTCTGTCATATCTATCCAACGAATGTCCACCCCAGGTCAAATGGGTGAATTCCTGCTGTTTCTTGGGTCGCTCTGCTTTAGGATAATACTGCTTTGGGAAAGACTCCTTAAACTGATCCCATGCCCTCATGGGTTAATACTATCTTAATTATTCGTCCACCATACGTCTGCGTCTTTTTGCAGCATAAATGAAGCACACGGTACTATCTGATTGTTCGAATATTCTATTGATAGGAATGTGGTTTCTATGGACGAAATCCACATCTGAGCTACTATCGGGTCTCTCATAGTACCAATGATGGGCAGGGATCGTACCGCTTGAAGTCCTGTAACTAGTTTGCTCCTTTGGTAGTTTGCGAACTGTTGGCTTGTTGGGTGACCATCATGGCGTGCATCATAGCCTGAAATGACTCTCACTTCAAATTAGTAGTGGGGTCTGTTCCAACTACTGGTGCGGCTTGGGGTGGTGCGGCTTGGGGTGGTGCAGCTTGGGGCGGCACAGCTTGAGGCGGTGCAACTACATTCGTCCTTGTTACTAATCCTTCTCGAGGTGGGCTCTCTTCAGCCTCACCTCTTCCTCTACCTATAATAGGGGGTCATCCCCTTCTCCATAGTCCTCTTTCACGTCCTCTAGGGAGCATGTTTCTAGAAACCAAGATAATATTTCTTAAGCCTAAGGCTGCTAATATGAGTAACAATAGATCGCATAACACAAAATCATACAATAGCGCAAACATAGCACACGGTATTAATTCAATTAACATGCTATAATCAACAACATATTCTTAATTCATTGTATGTAATATCATATCATATTCAAGAACATCACATAAAATTAAGTGTAGTGATTTAAGGACGTTTCTTTTTCTTATCTTATGCAAGGCATACCTAACGGTGACAAAATATCGATGGTGGGACCATGAAATGTGCCAAGCCTACCTCGTAGGCTAGTGTATAGAATCTATAACCTAGAGCTCTAATGCCAACAATAACGACCCTAGACTTCTGTTACCCAAGGTCGCTACTGTCATCTTACTCTAAACTCTTATGCGAAATTTAACTCGTAAAACATCATATTTAAAATGATAATTTCATCTTAAGCATAACATCATCATTGAAAGCACCATCATGGTCTTACGTGTTCGAAAACATAATTCAGAAAAAAAATTTAAAACAAATAATGATAAATAATTCAAAAACATGAAATGCATAACAACCTATTCTAACCAAAGTCTAGGAATTTAAAATGTTGCAAGCCTATGCTCGTGTCATGGTCTCTGATTGCGATGTTGTTGTTAGCCATATAGGAACGTCTTACCTTTACCTGAAAATGATGTAGCACCGACCCAAGTATTTTGAAGAATACTTAGTAAGTAACCCAACTATAGGGGTCGTGAAAATGCAAACACATGCAAGTCATGCTCTAGGGATCTATCGTTAAAATCATCCTAGAGGTGGCCTCCAGTCCAGACTAAATTGGATGTGCAGTACTTTCTTACACACGACCCACATGTGCGAGTGTGAATCTCTATGCGGTTTGCACCCCCCTAGACCCATCATAGTCGAGCTAGTTGTCTATAGCGACGTCCAGAGGTTAGCATACCCTTGAGTGGGCACTATCGTCATCGTAGCGTACGCATCCATACTCATTATCGTAAAAAGGGGTAGTATCTAGATGTTTATATAGACACAAATACATGAGGTCCTTATGATTTCTCGTCTTTAAAACATCTTTATGACACAACCCTAATTTCATCATTATATTACTATCACTAATATATGTGCATTAACTTCAACCTTTTCATGACATTAAATAAGATTGTGTCCTAGGCAAAATTATCGTCATAATGTAATATGTCATTCATAACATGCTTCTCAACTTAATATTAAAAATAACGTCATAATAAGAAAATAACATCATTCTACGCCATTTTGTTAGCATGCATAGTCATGGTCAAGTAACATCATCATAAACATATCATAGTCATTGTAAACATCATCAAGCCTCATCGTATACTTATACACGTCATCATATATTATACATCATATGTCGTACATTAGAATTCATCATCAAGGCATCATAAACATAAAGCATAAATGACACGTCCGTGAGCCACTAGACATCGTCATGATCCTTCTAGTCATCCTTCCTACCAGATCTGCGGCAAAGTGGGGCATACTGTCGTTCGCTGCTGATATAGGATGGATGAATCCTATCAGGATGAACCTCCTTCTACGACACTGGCGAGTACTTCCTCCTACAAGATTGATCTAAATTGGTACAACGACACAGGCGCCACTAATCGTAATATCAGTGACTTGGATTGTCTCACTGTGCATGAACGCTATCATGGAGGTGAACAAGTTCAAGTCAGCAATGGAGCAGGATTGCAAATTTTGCATACCGGTCATTCTTCAATTAATATTGGTTTTCGTCCTCTTGAATTGTGTAATCTTTTGCATGTGCTTGAAATTTTCAAACATCTTCTTTCCGTTTATAAATTTTCTCATGATAATGACGTATTCTTTGAATACCATCCTCGGTCATTTTCTATTAAGGATCGATGGTCAAAGAAAAGTTTTCTAGATGGGAGGTGTGAGTCTGGTCTCTATCCTATCAAGCCATCTGATGTCGATGATCTTAGGCGTGCGCACGTCTTGGACATCCTTCATCTCAAGAAGTGAAGTCAATTTTGCGTCTCAATAATATTTCGTGTGCTATTGAGTCACTTTTGCTAGTTTGTAATGCGTGTCAATTAGCAAAAAGTCATCAGTTACCATACACTAGTTCTTTTCATCAATTTTCATCTTCTTTGGAATTGATTTTTTCTAATGTTTGGGGTCCTGCACCTCCATGTGTTGGGGGCCTTAAATATTATATCAGTTTCATTAATGATTTCAGTCAATTTTCGTGGATCTATTTGATGCATGATTGTACAGAAGCTCCTTAATACGAATCCAACAACTGATCATTTGCATGTACTCGAAGGAGTAATTACAAGAAGTAATGCAAAGAAGATTTAAGTATCAAATCAAGAAAAAGCATGGAGTGGCAATAAATATCACTTGACTTTGGAAAGTGATTTGAAGACTTTATGTATTTGGTAGTTTAATTACATGTAAGACTATTTATGTCATTTCTTATTTTCTTCCATTTATATTTAATAGCTTCTATTTGTAGTTTGTAGTCGGTAGTTGAACTACATTCTGTTTGAATTAAAATTTTGGCTCAAAGGCATGTGATATTTAATTTTGAAATCATGGTGGAATACAAAAACCTTGTGTTTGAAACCTTTTGGGTGTCATGTTTCTTTCAAACCTCACTTTACATTTGATGTTTAAACCGATTCATTGGATTAGTTTTGATCGAGCTAATTCTGGAGTGAGTCGTCTTGGAATCTAGGAGTGAACATCATAGATTTCAAGTTCGATCTAAGAGTTATTCATCTTCTAACCAACTTTTGGTTGGAACCAATTCGTTAAGTTAGCTTTTTTTTGTGAAAGTTTGCAAAGATTCTAGAAGAACCTCTAGCTTTGCAAAATCCAGAAATTGTTATCCGTTAAGTTAGCTCTTGGTTGGAATCAATTGGTTAAGTTAGCCCAATGGCATAAGTCAATTTTGCGTCTCAATAATATTCCGTGTGCTAATGAGTCACTTTTGCCCGTTTGTAATGCGTGTCAATTAGCAAAAATTCATCAATTACCATACACTAGTTCTTTTCATCAGTCTCCGTCTCCTTTGGAATTGAGTTTTTATAATGTTTTGGGTCCTGCGCCTCCATCTGTTGGGGACGTTAAATATTATATTAGTTTCATTGATGATTTCAGTAAATTTTCGTGGATCTATTTGATGCATGATCATACAGAAGCTCCTCATATACTTTTGTAGTTCCAAGCTCATGTTGAGCGTCTCCTAGATACTAAAATGAAGTGTGTCCAGTCTGATTGAGGTGGAGAATATAAAAAAATTCATAACACATTTTTTTCATCCCCTTGAAATTTCTCATCGTGTTTTGTGCCCTTACATGCATCAACAAAATGGATCTGCTAAAGCAAGCACCGTCATATTGTTGAAACTAGCCCAGTCCTTCTAGCTCATGTTGATGTACCTATTAAATTTTGGGATGACACGTTTCTTACAGCCACATATCTCATCAATCGTCTTCCTACTCGTATCATTGATAAAAAAATGCTCCTTAGAGTGTCTTTTTCATACCCCACCAAATTACTCAGTTTTTTTGGTGTGCTTGTTGGCCTCATCTTCGCCCTTATAACAAACAAAAGCTCTCTTTTCGATCCAAGGAATGTGTCTTTCTAGGCTACGGTTCTTTACATAAAGAGTATATGTGCCTTGACATCGATTCTGGTCGTGTCTATATTTCTAGAGACGTCATATTTGATGAGAATGTTTTTCAGTTCAAGAGAGCCCCACCCAGTTCTTCCTCAACCTTGTAACCGACACACAATGCCTTTGATTTGTGCACCTTGTATTTGGGTAACAGTAATACTAATTTGGAAAATGATCATAGAAATTCTGGTGCCCACATCAGCTTTAGAATTTTCGCCGCAATCCTTCGCATCACTGCCGCGTAAATCGGCATCAATTGTTCCGCTAATGATTTGAGCCTCGAATGCTTTGAGCAGATGCTATTCTCGCATCACCTAGGCCCCACCTGGATTCTCTAGGTTCTAATCCTAGGGAACGATCTTCTGTCTGGTGTCTCTGATTGAGTGTCTGGTGAGGAAATCCTAGACGAAGGAAAAATTGCTGAAGAAATTGTTGGGAGAAGAAAAAACAGAAAAGCGAAACAAAATAACATAGAGAGAAAGAATATGAAGATTTTGGATTTAACTTTACTGCAAAAATACGGTATACTTATTTCTCATTTAATTGACCTATTTAAAACAAATTACATTCTAGGTCACTGAAAAACACGGTACACTTATTTCTCATTTAATTGACCTATTTAAAAGAAATTACATTCTAGGCCGAAGTGGCCAACAAATCTTGCTCCTAAAGTTGGCCCAAATGACCAACTAAAAATTGTTCCCGGATGTAGTGGGATCTGATTTCTATGTGCTTGCTCCAGTCGTGCAAAACTAGATTTTTTATCCGGGAGATCGTAGCTTTGTTGTCCATGTATAGCATTGGTGGATCGCCTTCTCTTTCTCATCAGTTAGCTTTGGACATACACTTATTTCTCATTTAATTGACCTATTTAAAACAAATTGCATTCAAGGCCGAAGTGGCCAACATATCTTGCTCCTAAAGTTGGCCCAAATGACCAACTAATAATTGTTCCCGGATGTAGTGGGATCTGATTTCTATGTTCTTGCTCCAGTCGTGCAAAACTGGATTTTTGATCAGGGAGTTCCCGGATGTAGTGGGATTTGATTTCTATGTTGTCCATGTATAGCATTGGTGGATCGCATTCTCTATTTTTGATCAGGGGGTTCCGGATGTAGTGGGATCTGATTTCTATGTTATCCATGTATAACATTGGTGGATCGTATTCTCTTTCCCATCAGTTAGCTTTGTTGTCCATGTATAGCATTGATTTCTATGTGTTTGCTCTAGTCGTGCAAAACTGGATTTTTTATCAGGGAGATCGTAGCTTTGTTGTCCATGTATAGCATTGGTGGATCGCCTTCTCTTTCTCATCAGTTAGCTTTGGACATACACTTATTTCTCATTTAATTGACCTATTTAAAACAAATTACATTCTAGGTCGAAGTGGCCAACATATCTTGCTCCTAAAGTTGGCCCAAATGACCAACTAAAAGTTGTTCCCGGATGTATTGGGATCTGATTTCTATTTGCTTCTAAAGTTGGCCCAAATGACCAACTAAAAATTGTTCCCGGATGTAGTGAGATCTGATTTCTATGTGCTTGCTCCAGTCGTGCAAAACTGGATTTTTTATCAGGGGGTTCTCGGATGTAGTGGGATCT